GCAATGAACGGCAATAAGGCCAGACGGGAGAAAAGATCATTAGGGTAAGTGGTGGCATTGGGCAACCGATTCGATCGATGATCGAGCAGCGTGCTCGAGATCGATAATCGATGCAACCCGAAGTATCTCGGCAAATCTCCCGTGATCACTATCTCGCTCGATAATCGCCAACGACGGGGATTCTGGGCGCCTCGACACTACCGTCACTTAATAAATCCCCGTCGATGCGGAGAGGTTTTGGATTGTTACGTCATCGGCCTCCCGACATAATAAGTAAATAACTGTGTGGCCGAGAGGCAGAAGAGCAACAGTGTTTGCGGACAAAGAAAAATTGTCGGGTGGATTCGCGGAAGCGCCCAAAGTCATTCGCCACATCGGTAGCGAGAAGGACGCGTAGCAAACTCGAGCGGCGGATGCACGCGTCCGACTTTAATTTAATGCGCACGAAAATTCGAGTTATCAGGCGAGTGACGGCGATTGGCGAGATGAGCGGTGGCGGCGACGGCGGCGGCGGCGGCGGCGGCGGCGGCAGCGGCGGCAGCAGCAGCGGCAGCAGCGCGTTCCTCGAGTTTCCACGGGTGGACCTTCGCTTTTGCGAAACACCGTCCACGCGCGCATGAACCGTAGATAGAGATGGAATAATAGATATTTAGGTAGATAGATGGGAAATGAGAGGAAGGGAGGAAAACAGATAGATAGATGGATAGATAGATAGATAGATAGATAGATAGATAGATAGATAGATAGATAGATAGATAGATAGATAGATAGATAGATAGATAGATAGATAGATAGATAGATAGATAGATAGATAGATAGATAGATAGATAGATAGATAGATAGATAGATAGAGAGAGAGAGAGAGAGAGAGAGAGAGAGAGAGAGAGAGAGAGAGAGAGAGTGAAAGTGAGAGTGAGAGTGAGAGTTAGAGTGAGAGGGAGCGAGTGAGGGTCGTGGTTGAGCGGACGAGCGAACGGCGAATAGACCAACAAGTTCACCAGCTGTAATGGAGAGAGACAAAAATCGTCAAAATATCGGTTTCGTAATACAAGAGCGGTGGTGGTGGCGGCAGCCGCGACAACACAACGACAGCGATAATCGAAGGCTAAAATGGAAAATATGCGCGCGGGCAACAGCGCACGATGCTGATTTTCTCGCAACAGCGTTGCGGCGCCCAAGAAAGAAAGAGAAAAATGTGCGTGGCAAGTTTTCGGGCGGCGCGTGAGTTTCGTAAGCGTGGCCCGCAAAACGGAAAGAATACACTCGCGCAGCTGTCGCTCCGCTGCATTTTCGGAGCAGGAAAGCCTAGTGAGTGTGCGAGAGTGTGCGAGAGTGTGCGCGAGCATTTTCATGAGCGACGGCGGACGAGTGTGCGTACGTGCGTGTGAGCTAGCGGGGGACGGTGAGAGACATTTTACGCGTGGAGTTGCGCGCGGCGGAAAGGGAGGGAAAGTTAGGTAGATAGACGGATAGTAGTTAGATGGATAGATTCCGAGAGAAGGAGAGAGTGAGAGAGCAAGAGAGCGAGAGAGCAAGTAAGCGAGAGAGCAAGTAAGCGAGAGAGCGCGCGAACGAGCAAGTGTGTCGATGGAAAGGGGATTGGGGCGGCGGGGGGGAACGGCAGGCGTGATAGAGAGCGACTCAGCAAAGGCACATTCTATATCTGCTCGTTTTTCTTTGGGCGCGCGCGCCCGCTCACGCACTCGCACACGCACCCGCACCCGCACACGCACGTGGGCGAGCGCGCGGTTGGTTAACACGCTGACGGGCGGCATTCGACGGCTCGCGATTATTAGGCTCTCGTTTCTAGGAATCGAGATGCGGAATCGTCTCGACTCGAGGGACGCGCTGCAGTTTTTCCTTCGCCAAGCGCCGCCGTTCCCGCTACTCCCCAATTCGTATCCGTTGACCGAGACTCGCTTCCTTCTCTCCTCCTCCACCCCCTCTCCCCACCCCTAAATCCTCTACCACTTTACGTGGCACTTTGGGCCCACGATCAGTGAACTCGCCGATTCCTCCCCCATTACGATCGTTCATTATATTTTCCTAACCAATATGGATATATTTAACAATTCCGAAGACTGCATTGGTTCGTCGTAGCCGTACCCCCCCCCCCCAACCGATTATTGAGCGCCATTCCTTCTCCGCGGACGACGCCGGATGCAATTTTAATTGACCTTGCGCTTCTTTTTCCATTTTCCTTGGCTCCGTCAAAACTGCCGTCTCGTAACGGATTAAGGACGGGGGAAGAATTTTTCAAAGTCGCGCACAGAGTCCGCCGCCCGTGGTATCCCGCTCGTTCGACACCCCCCCCCCCCCCCCCCCCCCCCGCCACTCCATCTCAACCTGCGACAATTGTCGACTCTTTTCTGGCCCCCCGTTGAAAGTGTAACAAGGTCCACTCTTAAATGGAATCGCGCAGGTCTTTTATTAAGTCGAGGCACTGTTACAAATGCAACCAGCCGATCGCTTTGGAGAGCCAACCGGCGATGATATATGGCGACCACTGTTTACGTTTACGATTTTTCCCTGTGCACTTTGAGGTACCCGCGGCAGTACACCTTAAAGTAGCCTTAACGCAGATCGATGCTCTTTAAATCATTAGGGGTTGTGCGGTGGGCGGGTGAGCGGGAGGGGAGGGGGGCAGACGATCGAAGAGGCAACTCGGCAGTGCATTAAGTACAAAATAAATGTCAAGTACTTTTTCGTCGCTTGAAGCGATTTGTGGTGCGCGGCGGTGCGCCGCCGACACGAACGAAGGAACGAATAATATAGGTAAGAGAAAATCGGCCATCGCGAACGATTGGCGTACGCCATTATTTAAATTAAAGCCATGACGACCTGAGCGAATAAAATGTTGCATTGGAAAAGCGACTGTTGGTTCACCAGGCAGAGATGTCTCACGCGCGAGAGTAAGAAGTCGTAGGTATATTTTATATTTTCGCATATTCGATCCGCCATGAAAAATAACTTCTCGTATGAATGAAAAATAGATACAATATACGCACACGCGTGCGTGCGAACTCTAGCCACCGCCTTGTTTACCATCCAAAACTCGTATGACGGCGGGACATATATTGTCCGTTCTTTCCCTCTCGATTCCTCCGCCCCCCCCCCTCCCCACCCACCCCCCCCCCCCCCCCCCCCCCCCCCCCCCCCCCCCTCTCCCTCCCCTCTCCGTCGCAGCACCCTCTCCCACAGCGGCACTCGCTCGTTCTCCCTCTCCCTCTATCTTGCTCGTTCCTCTTGTTTTTATCAGGCGCGAAAAGACTATCCGATTCGGGTTTGTTGTTCGTCCGCGTGCGTTCAAGACGTTTTCAAGGCCACGGCGGCGGCGCCGCCGCCGCCGCCTCTACTGACGCCGCCGCCGCCGTAACCGCCTCGTGCGCGCCTCGTACATTATAGCTTTTGCGTTATTAGTTTTTCGGCGTGCGCGCGCGAGGCCGTGGACTTGGACTTGTCTTCTTTTTCTCTTTCTGTACCGGGAAGCGCGGTGCACGCAAGGAACAACCACTACACAAGAACGACGTGTCGCCGGCGCTGCAGCCATCGGTTGCATAGCCGCGGGACGGGTCGCGCCCCGATAATACCTCCCCCAACCCCCTCGTACACGTCCCTCTCCGTAGGTCCTGGGGCCATCTCCGCCCGCTGCACAACAACCAAACTTCACGGCGAAGGACGTCGTGGATGGTTTCGCTCTACATTTGATATATCCCGTCCGTCCCCTCACTCCTCACCCCCTCACAAACTCTCCTCACCACTCCCCTCATCGTCCTCCTCCTCCGCCCCAAAATAACCCCATCCCTCTCTACCCCTCGGTCCCTTGTGCTTTCGGGCGCGCGGCGGCGCTGCTTCGCGGGCCGCCAGCATTTATTGCAATTGGCGGGTGGTGCGCACGTGCTTTCTCTCCGCGGTTCTTTTTGATTTGGACGCTGGGGCCCCTTATTCGTCGGCATATCGCGCCCATGCCATCCATCGAGGTTACTATGCATTATCAATAATCTTCCCTTCGTTATTTTGGTCCCACCACACAACCCCGCGCACTTACGCGCGTCTCCTTTGCTGGCGGTTGTGTGCGGTGAGCGCGCGCTGGCAAGGGCAAGGCTCGGCCGATCTTTTGCCTTTTGCTACCTGGGTGATCGCTACTTCTTCGTCACGGCTACTTACTACCAAATAACTAAATCGGCCGGCGTGCTTTGAGGCAAACTTTTTAAATTCGGGGTCGACGCATTGCGCCACCGCGCCTCCTTCGCGTCGCCTATCTATCGCCGCGGTTATTTACGACCGCGATAAAAGTTTTCCGACCGCTTGAAAAAAAATCGTCGTCCCACTGAATAGAATATTTTTACGTCTTTTACTTATGCTTTATTTTGTTTTTTAAATTTTTTTTGTTACTTCCAAGTTTATCGTCGCTCAACATTCAAGGGCAATAGGCGATTAATTGTTGTTATCATCGTATTTCCAGTGGGACTGCGGAGGAAGAGGAGTCGCGGGGCGGGGCGGGGAGGGGGCGACGCGAGTTTTTTTTTTTGTACTTCTTTAAATTTATATACTTCCTGTACATTAATCATTCCATTTTTTGCATCTATATTATGAGTCTGGCATTTATCATAATAACAATAATAGCAATAACATTAGCAGCAACGACAATAACAACAGCAGAGAAACAACAAAAATAACAACAATAATAATAACAGAAACCAATAACAATAGCAAACGAAAGCAATAGTAGCGGTGGTAAATTAGTAGTGTTAATGGTTGTAACGTAGTAACAGAGATAATCACAGACTAGTAATATTAACAATAACGGCAGCTATTTTAATTATAGTTACTACATGGTGTTTCCCTATGCCATCTAAATGTTGGAAAAGATCGTGTACAGAATATTAGGAGATACGTTTCTACAAGCATACGTTGCCTTAATACCAGCATCTAAAGTGTCTAAATCATTAAGTTTTGCATTTTGCTTTGTTTTCGCAGATACACATTAAGCCACCAAAATGAATACCTCGGCGCAGCAATATTGTTTACGCTGGAACAATCACAGTTCCAATTTTGTGACAGTATTCGAGCAGCTATTGAAATCTGAAGCTTTTACGGATGTGACAGTCTCGGTACATAATGGAACTTCGATCAAGTGCCACAAAATGGTCCTCGCCGCATGTTCATCCTACTTCCAGGATCTTTTCATTAAGAATCCCTGCGAACATCCCATCATTATTCTGAGCGATGTCAAGTATTGTGAAATTAAGGCAATTCTCGATTATATGTACAAAGGAGAAGTCAATGTAGCTCAAGATCAGTTGGCTGGATTGTTAAAAGTCGCATCCTTCTTAAAGGTAATACTTACATTTTCATGCATATTGTAATGAGTAATAATGTACGAATGTACGATAATAGTGTAAATAAGATCTTTGAGAAAGTTTATAGTCTATGCCATGCGATATTAATCAGCTCATCTATCGCTTTATCGTTGCAGGTAAAGGGTCTTGTGGAGGATAGCGAATCGAGCAATAGAAGAGAAGCCGAACCTTCCATGTCTCCGTCACCTGCCATCACCACAAGTACGATGAGTACCGTAGCTCACAGCAGTGGATACATATCTCCACCCCATATTCCTTCCTCGACCTTCATCCCATATGGCAAGTCTCCCGTGGAAAGAAATCATAATCACATGCCATTGTGGGCTGCTTTCTCTGGGCTTCCCATGCCTCAGCATCCCATATCTGGGCATCAGCCACCACCGCGCAGTCAACACTCCATTCTTGGAAGCTCCTATGAAAATTCATCCGAGACTTCTCCTCTGAGCAGGAAAAAGCTCTCCAGCTTAATGGCCAATCGTGATACACCAATCTTAAGAAATGTCCTTGGTCAAGGGCAGGCCGATAGTTCTCAAGGAATGTCCACTCCTCATCTAGAAAGACAGGATGCGTCATTTTGCTCGAATAGCAACGGATCGGCTCACGATTCGGATAGACGAAACAGTGCAGAGCTCTCCGAATCCATGATAGACGAAGATGAGAAACAAATCTCTCCCCAGAATTACCCAGTTGGCAATAAGTCAGGTAATTAGTGAAATAATTACATTTCAGTATTAAATCGTTCGTGTTAATTATAAAGACTCGCGAATAAGGTGCAGATGCTCTTAGAGACCCCAGTCGCATTGACTTTAAAATAAAAAGAATTTCAACTGATGCAGCTTTGATAATAATAACAATAACAGTCATTTCTTAATGCAAAGAATTTTTTTTACTTGCTCTAGAGAGGGATCATGGAAATCAGTAATTTTTAATATTTCACTTTTAAATTGTATTGGCATGGTTATTGTTATATAAATAATTCAATTTGTTATTAATATTAATGACTGAAAAGGATGTCCCTTTCAAAATCAAAGTACATAATGTTTATATAAAAATCTAAGTTTTTTTTACGATTATTTTAAGATTTTATTGGAAATAACGAGCAAAATTCAAAATTAAATTTAGTATTATGAAATTCTGAAATGCCTTGACCAATGGCCGTATAGGCAAATGTCGATGGCAAACGTCAGCCTCGTCTCCACAGCTCTTTCTTACAATAAAACGAATTCATTAAAGCATTGCAAGTAGAGTTAGGATGCGTAGAGTAGCGAGCGAGTTAATTATTGTTGAAAGTAAGGTTGATGACTAACGACAATTCGCGCAAACGCTCGCTTTTCCAGGCGGACCCAAACCCGAGTGGAAACGCTACAAGCAGTACACCCGGGAGCACATAATGGACGCGATGAGTGCCGTGCGCAACAAAGAGATGAGCGCACTCCAAGCGGCAAGGAAATACGGGGTGCCGTCGCGCACCCTCTACGACAAGCTCAAGAAGGCCGGGATCCTGCCATCGAGGGGTGCCGCTGTCCAGAGGCGCGAATCCTCGCACTGTGGTAGCGCGCGTTTCCCCTATGCGAGCAGCATCAACGGGAGTGTGTACGGCAGCGGGGGCGGCGGGGGGGCCGTTCTCTCGGAGAGCGAGAGCGAGACCAATGGACCCGGGGGCTGCACGAGCGAAGCTTCCTATGCCTCGGCCCTGGCGATGGACATGTCCACGCGTAGCCCAAGCCCGAACCCGAACGCCATCGGCGGCGGTCTCTCGGCCGAGCTCGACGACCAGGTTGAGGACCTGTCACTTAGCCGCGGCGCGCCCCCCCACGAGGAGGAGAACGCCAACGATTCGGATAGCTCCAACCGCGTCTGAGAACGCGGCCAACGACTGTCGACCGTAACCGAACACGCGGAACCCACGAAAGAAGCCTTTCCCGACACATCCGATTGCAAATCCTCGTGTGACCGATTGCTCCTGCGCCCGCCTCTCTTACCTGCCAAAAGCTTATGCTGCCTACCCTATTATCGGGACATATGGCCCATTAGCCGTCTCTGGAGAGACAGGCAGACGCAGAGAGAGAGAGAGAGAGAGAGAGAGAGCTTGGAAAGAAAGTCGTTGGGGCAATGTGCCGAGTTTTCGTATGGCCCCCCGTATATTCGCGTACGCGGCGCGTACATTTGAGAAAGAGGATCCCCGCATCCCCCGCCTGACCCTATACACTAGTAGAGGTAGTGGAGGATGAGATTGGATGATCGGTGACAGGAGGGGATGGGGAGGAGAGGGAAGGAGCAACAACCCCCGGCCAAGTCCGCACATGAACAATCCGCGGATGGGATGGGTAAACCCCCGAATTCAGGGGCTGGCGATTTACGATTTTTTTAAAATCAGCCTCTGCCCCGCTGGTAGTAGGTGGTGGGCTCCTCTTAGGTCACGATTTTCCAGCCACCTCCGGCCAGTCTTAGCGAAGCAAAGGACGGAGTAGAGTCGCGAGGATTGGCAGAGGTACACGGGGGACGTCGTCGTGGGTTTAGTAGCGAGTTACTCGAGTTATCCGATTTCAACTTAAGACTGAGCATGCGCCGTGACTTTAAGAGACTGAACTTGTACAAACGGTGCACTTGTTCCAAAAACTGTCCAAGTCTGTTGCCAATGTTCTTTTTGTTTTATTCGCACATATAAATTATGCTCTTAGGTTTTCATTTTAAGTACCCTCGATTATATTAAGTCAAACTTACATTGGTTATTTTATTTTTTATTTTATCTATTAAAGTTTTGCTCGGAGAAATTGTTAGTTTATTACTCGTTCACGATCGAACGGATACGAACACTCGATGAATTTTAAATCGCTTCATGAAATGAATGTTATAACATTTCATTTTTAATGTCCCAATTATTGATTAGATCAATTTAATATTTACGATAAGCAAAAGAATTGGATTTATTAAAACTCCGACGCGCTGAAGAGGAATTGATTTTTACCGATAAGTCTCAAATGAAGAACGAACGACATTTTAACTATCAGCTCAGCTACTTATGTCATTTTAATCAATGTTTATTTTCGATTGGTAGAAGCTATAGGAGAAGATTTTTTGACCGGTGAGAGTAACAAACCAATAATTTACTTTTGCGTTATTATTGCGCATCACTTTTTACTTGGCAATCAAATGTGTAGGCAGACAAATGCGCACCCCGATGCCGTGACAAGAGACGTGCGTTTACATGATTCGTAACTGTTATTAAAAGAAGCTTGAAAACGGTTATCTATCTTATCATAAATTAGAAATGAAATTTCACGCTTAAGAAAAAAATAAAAATATTTTTAAATTTATAAATAAGCGTTGAATATTACTGAGAGTAAGAATGCATTCTAATTACAAATTACAAAATACGTTCGGGATTCTATATTGGAGAATTTAATTTCTCAAGACTTTAAAAAACGAGTAATTTTTCATGATTATAGTGTTTTCTATACTCCATATTGACGTTGTAATTATTTATAATTTTAAAATAACTGACTTTCTATAAAGGATTGGTCTTTCGTGCAACACTAAGGTCAAAATTCGGAATAAGAAACGGCAAGTGAAAAATGGCTAAATAATATTGCGATCTAAAAATTGTAAATTAATTACGACAATTCTTCGATATATTCCTATGCGGCATTTAATGCCTCTCATATAGGAAGAGGTTTCAAACTATTATTATCATTACTATTATCATTATTATCATTATTATTATTACTATTATTAATAATAATGCTGCTACTATTATTACTTCAACTAATGTCAATGCTATTACCATTATTATGTTAATTATTATGATTTTAATTACTTTTATTCTTCCTATTTTTTCTTTTATTTCTATTATCATTATTATTATGATTATGATTATTATTATTATTATTATTATTATTATTATTATTATTATTATAGTAATATAATTGTAAGAACCTTAATCATATCGTTAACAATTGAGATATTGAATGTTAATTTGTTGTAAAAGTGAAGTTATACACATACTAATATACATATATACATATATATACATATATATATATACGTGTGTGTGTGTGTGCGTGTGTGTAAGTGTGTGTGTGTAGAGAGAGAGAGAGAGAGAGACGTGTATATGTATGCATATATAATTGTATATGACGTATAATGCATATTGTTACTGAAAATAATATGGCCCTGGGAAATGGATGCAATATTGCTCAATGTATGTATGACATGTAATACGAAAGAAAGCGCCATTTATAATGAAAAAAAAAAACATTAATTTGTTTGACAACGGATTACCTCTGACAGTAACTATTAATCTACGCAACCAATGTAGTATAATTCAGTAACTTAAGACTGATTGGAAAACCTTTAATTAATGAAATACACAATGGTTACTGTAGATTTATATTATATAAAATCTTTAATGATCCTCATTATTTTTTATTTTTCATTTTATATCTTTTACAAGAATATATAATCCGTTATTAAGTATATATTACGTATATATGAAAAAAGAAAAATATACATTGGACGTATATTATTAGGCTTTTAAGTTTATCTACAAAGTACTATTGCATATTAAAAAAAGCCGATTTTTTTTTGTCTTTTTTATTCTATAAAGTTAGTTTTTCGAGGGCCCAAGACCTAGCGAAGAATGAAGAATATATTATAATATTATATAAAACGAAGAAAATTAAAGCGAATGTTGCCTTATAATCAATTTTTCTGGAGGTCCGTACAACGGTCCCACCTACGATCAATTATTATATAAGGAAAAAGAAAAAGATCTCGAAGTTCATTAAACAAAATAAAACAACAACAACAAAAACAACAACAAAAATTTTAATAAAAAAAAAAAAAAAAATGAAAAAACATCGTAATATTTGGATATTTGCGAAACGTAGTCGCGATGCGTATTATCGAATACTCCGATGTTAAAGGGCATAATTTGTATCTCGCCGGGATCTTTTTTTTTTTTTTATTATTATTGTTTTCGCACGAAAATGTCGGCCTCGTTACGAAAAGTGCGTATTCTAGTTTCTTGGCGAAATAATAATGTTTATTGCGTGCGAATCATCATGATAAATTAATTCATAATGTTCGAATGTGCGAAGTGGGAAAGTATTCGTCAGAACCAATTGCCTCATGTTAAAGTACAAAATACATATGCTTTTAGTACAAGAGTATGCAAAGTTGCTACTTGAAAGTTTATACGTATGCCCCAAGTACAAAATAATGAAATGTTGCTACCTCAAAGATTATATCTATATACACCTACATATACTTATATAAATATAAATACAAAAATGCGTACAGTATTACATACGTATGCGCGCGCATATATACATACACACAGTAGAGTTTTCTTCTTTGATACAATATATTTACACATTCAGAGATTATTTTGTAGATCGTAATTCAGTGTTGTACCTGCACCTTTATGTGATTCAACGAAAGTTTCTGTTTATTATTGTAAAAGCTCGGCATGGAATTGTGTAGAAATTTTATATGACGAGTTTTTGCGTATTCCCTTTATACCTCGGGTGGCACGCAAACTATTTTTGTTTTACCATTTATCAGTTGATCACATGGTAACGATGATCAGGCAAAATTGTGCGATTTCGTTTTAAGGCTGTCAAGGTTTAAATTTACGTACTTGAAATTAAAAGAAATTGAAAAATGAAACGATCTTGAATCGAGATTGAATATTGTCGACGTATTTGGACATTAAATGAAGAATGAAAAAAAAGTTAAGTGTTTGTGTGGCCCAGCCATTGCACCATAGAATGTAAGTACCGTTTTAGACGTGAATAATGAAGTATCACTTTAGTGAAGAAAACTATTGTTTTAAATAATTATTGTTAGTTAAAAAGGTGCCGCGATGAATTTAATGGCGCGAAATTTTTGAAAACCGTAAGATGATGCGATGCGGCTTTTTCAAAAAGGCCTTTATAAAATTACGCGTATGAGATACCACTTTTTTATCTTAGCAACTATAAATGTATATATATATATATATATATATATATATATCAACACAAATGTAAATAATAGTAAGCGATCAGCTGCCTTATAGCAACTACTGTTGTATTATTCTTAAGACTGACTTCTTTTTATGATATTAGATATACATGATATATATGTATACCTATATACATACATAATAATATATATGTGTATATGTATATTCATATGCATATATATATTTATATATATATATATATATATATATATATATATATATATATATATATATATATATATATATATATAAATATAACAGTAGACAAGCGCGTGAATCTGCACAAGTAAATACATTTGAAGGTCAAGAAAAGATACACTCGATAAAATAAGTATGAAGAAAAGCCATTTTTCTTTTGTATTTTCCGTCGACGAACAAAATTATTTCATTTATATACATACAAAGATATTTTCGTCTCGTGAACGCGTGTTACTGAACAATCATGTTGTGCAAGTTTGTTATGAAATATATATATTATCAATATCAATATAATATAATAATGTATGTTTTTTAACCTTCCCTGTCCTTTAGATATTTTAAAAATACATAAATTTATGATCCGATAGTTGGGATTCATTTTATATTCAATTGCTTCTTGTTGCTAATATTTGATGCGAATTTTTACGAATAGTTTCTACTTACTTTTTACGTACGACTCTGTACGTCAAATAATCGACTATGTGCATCTACATCTAGAATTACATGAACAATAAATCAGTTAATAAAATACGTAGTAAAGTTTTTTTTTATAAATTATACATAGACAACGCAGCTTTCAACAATTGAAGTTTTTAATTACATTTTAATTATTTGCATTTATCGATTATTTTTAAATCTCCATCCAAAATATATAT